AAAAAAAAAAAAAAAAAAAAAAAAAAAAAAAAAAAAAAAGGAAAGAAAAAAAAAGCTTTGAAACAATCCATATTTTTTTCCTCACCACACATTTGCCATTTGATAAGCTCAGTGCCAAGAAATATTATTCTTTTTAATGACAACAATTCCCAAGAGCAAAAAATGAGGAGAAATTTGTATTATTAGTGCGTAATACATCTCTTGGGAATGCATCAAAGATCTGAGAGTTCAACAGGGTTCTCAGATCTTGATTGGGGGATCTCAAATCTTCATAGATGTTGCTGTTCAAATACAAAGCCAAAAAAAACCAATGTCACTGTTGGTATTTGAATCCTCACCTGCACATTTCAGAGGTCAGAGAGGGCCCAGTTTCTGGAATATGCCTAAACTTTCTGAAGAGCCACAAGTTATTCTCAAAAATATAGCAGGCGTAGCATGAAGATATTTTACAGTAAATTTACCTCTGTAGTTACACTTGCAAAGGACATCTGGCAATTGCCAGTGCCACAAGCCTGTTAAGAATAAAGAGTTAATTAGCTGCTTATTGAAGTCTTTTCTTAGTTAGCATAGCAAGGTTTTAATCACACATATCTTTGCCGTCATCTAAGGAATCTTAACACAATGCACAGAGGAATTACACTGCCTTTCAGTAGGTTAAGTGAGGTTTCCTCCCCAGCTTTTAATTTGAATCTAAAAAATTCTTTGAATCTTCTTAGAGCTAAATAATCTTTCAGAGAGGCTTTGCTGATACCTAGGGAAAGAGTCCAGCTAGACTTTGCTCTCTAGATTAGGCTCATCTGAACCTTTCCATATTTTTTTTCTTCCACAGATCCTCATCCAGAAGCTAAAAAGCAGCTTTTGTTAGTTACCAAACTCAGCAAAGTGCAATTAAGTCTTTCTAGACAATCACCATTTCTCTTTCAAATCTACTCTTCTCTTGGATATAGGCTTAGATGTTCGGGGTTATCGCATGCTCCCTTTATGCCTATGCCTACCTCCTCTTCACCTAATACAAAGTCTGATACCAAGTGCAACTGTATGACCAAAGGAAAAATGATATCTGTGTTAGCTAATAAGGATCAGAATATCTCCATGCAGAATGAAACTTCCTTCGCCTTTTCCAGTGAAACTTGCATTACAGCAGATCTCCTTTCTCTTATTTAATATTAATTCATGCTAAATATCTTGAATCTATTCCAACTATGAGGCGATACCAAAGTTATTCGGTACAATGAGCTTTACTAAAGCATCTATTACAAATAGCAGATGCAATATTCAAAGTATCTTGTGCGTAAAAGCTGAGAATCCAAATAAATAACAGGTCTGGGCACCGAAACCCATGGTCTAACCACCCTCAGCACATCACACTGAGCTATAAAAAAATTGTGAGCTCTCAACTTTTCCACTAGAAAGAATCTTTCTAGAAAAGTGCAAAAACTCTTAAGATTAGACATTGCCCGTGAAAGAAAGTGGCATCAAAGTCAACGGGATCGCTCCAACCACCCTGTTCTCCTTCAGGTAAAAGTATATGGAGAGGAAGGAATGACCCGATGTGCTCCCTGAGCTTTCTATAGCTGCACAGCTGGTCTGTGCCAGACGGTCTGTACCACGGCCTAGTGAGTCTGTACATTAGGCACAGACACACTTCAGACTAGCCTGTATAAATGAAGAACATGGAGATTAGTTATGTGAAGCAGTAGTAAAAGTGCTAAGCACCCACTCCAGCACAGCATCTCAGCAAAATGAAGTTTGGACACAGGTGTCTAACCACTGTATGACCTCCCCAGTTGTCAGATATTCTCCTTGCATTATCTTTCTAGGCTATTTTCTAGTTCAATATTTAAAATAACATAAAAAAAAAATAGACATTAGACCCAACAACTGCTGGTCTAGTTAATTCCCCATTCTAAAAAACAGCAATCGCAACTAAGGCTTGAAAGGGAGGGAGCAGGGGAAATGAGGGAACACATTAATAAAACTAATGAATAAACGGATCAAGTTAGTAAAAATTACAGTGAACATTTGCAAGTTTTAATACATATATCCCAAGAGAAACAAATAGAACAGATGCTTAACTGAAAACAAAATTTATGAAAAATAATTTTTATTTCCCTAAATGCACAAGATCTTACCACTAGCATAGTTAGCTTATTATGAATCATTATTTTTATTAAAAAGAAAGAGGTGAAAGGGATATTTTTGTTTATTGTAAAACATTTGTACTGACTTCATCAGTGTAATATATTAGGTGCATCATTATTTATCTAGTTCTACCACAAGCAAGCTCCATATATTTTCAGGCTCCAGCGGGCTTTGCTGGCATGCTGTTATAAGCAGGTATTTCAGAAAGTTATTGTGCCTTCCTTCACTTCCAAAAGGCTCTTCACAAACCATTCTTTACGCTCATGCTTACACCAGACCTCATGGATGCTTGAAACGTTTTAAGAGCAAGTCCTGCTAAGGGCAGAGTAACCACATACTAGGGATATAGGAAGATGAATCAGATGGAGACACATAAAGCTGACTAACAAGTCGTGGCTTGTCAGGTAGACACAGTAGCAGCGAGTAGGGAAGCTCTGAGCAAGGCGTGTTAATGCAGACTCCTTCACCAACGGCTAGTGGTTTTTCCCTGTTAAGGAGAAGGCTAAGTGAACACACACGAACAGATAGCTCAGCCCTAGGGAGGCAACTTTTTTAAACCCTTTCTTACTTCATCATGGCCAGTTGCATGCCAATAACCATAGGCAGCGCTTTCCAACCTGCTTTACAGCTCCCTTCCCAAATGCACACTACCATGGACCCTTCCTGTCTCCCTTAGTCATCATCCCGGCACACATAATATTCGTGTTCCAACATTGTCAATACAATTGACATACACAATCATTTTTGCGCATCATCTTTGGTGCTATCAGACCCCAGGAGTAATCGCTGGGAATAAAAGCAGTATTACAACACTGGTACAGCATTTTGCATGAAGCAAAGACAGGGCTTGTGTTTTGTCCTCTGGCAAATCAGCTTTTCACATGCTGTGCTGCGTTGGGGACTGTGCTGAACTCAGCTGGGTAGATATCCTAGCTTGCTGTAACTGCATACAGCTCTGACTGGCACTGAACAGCTAAGTCCTGCATGCTGGTGCTCTAAGGAGAGTGCCGTGACAAACTGAATGTGCAACTTCAGGACCAACTTATTCTGAGATTGCAAAAATGGAGAGATGCAACCTGCTAATTGAGAGTAGAACGATACTTGGCTGGAAAGTCTCCCAGTTGATCCACAGCCTTTCACTAGACATCTAGATGAGCACGTATCTCTGAAGAAAGAGGCTAAACAAGTGACTCTCGCCTTTACAGTGATTAATTCCTACGAATAAGTCAATGGATTTTCTCTACAATGACTTGTAGCACTTAAGCAAGGAGTATATGAGAAGAATTGCTAGCAGTTTCAGAGAAGAGCAATACAATACTTCCTGGAGGTATCATACTAGCTATACAGTTTGCAAAACTGTGTGTTGTAGGACTGATGCAGTTTTACATAATTCCAGGAGTAAGCCCAGGAGCATGGATGGCCCTAAGCCTTCTTAGGCTGGACAGCAAGATTACAGGAGCTCATTTTGCATCCTTGCCCCTCCATTTACTGGTCGTAATCACCACCTGCTCCAGCACATATCCAGAGGCAGACTTAGACTCCTGTCCTGGTTATTGGCTCATAGTCCATTCCTCTTGTACCTCTCCAGGGCCTGTTGCCAGGTACCCTTACAATACTGGGGACAGTGCCAAACGAGCCCTTTATTCTACAGCAATATTTATTTGTCAGACAGCCAGTACCTGAATTCAGGATTTCTTGAAGAGCCACCCTCTAGGGCTTATCAGCATGGCTGCAGGTGCTGATTTTGCTCAGTCATAAGAAATATCTCACCTAACCAGCCAGACAGGGCCAGATGAGGCACACAACCAGTTCACCTTGATCCCTTTGTTTACCAGCCAGAACTAAGCATCAGCCTCTGAGATCAATACTGATGTTTCCTTGCTGAATGAAACAGGAAGGCAGAGAGGATGGCACATCTCATCCCCCGCAGCCAAATCAAAGGTACCAGCACTCAGCTCTGCACCCTGAGCTTCCTGACCTCTAGGAGCAAAGACGTGACCTGCAAGACCAAACTCAAACAACCCCAGCACTATGTCAGCATCTGTCCCCTTCACTGAATGCCTTTGAGCATCCCCACAGCAAGACCACAGGGAAAGCGATAAAACTCTTGCATTACACGGGCGATATTCTCTTTTTCCTGACATCAAAGTCCAACCAAGATTTACACAAGCTCAGGAACCTGGCCTTGTCTTTGCCCATGAGGTCTCATACCAAACTATCTGAGAGGCATCTACAGCCTCTAAAATCAACAGGAAAAACCTGCCTCCACTCTCCTCTGATTAATTTTTGGTGAAGTCATATAATGGAACATTGTTAAAACATGTGCCAGATAAATACTGCCAGAAGTACTATTATTCTTTTAGTTTATTTAGTTCACACAGTATATTTTTAAAAACAGTTACCTAACTTCCAGTATACCACAACACTGTCATCTCTCTCTTCCCCTTCCCCCAATGTGTGGAATGAATTTTGTACTATTAGCCAGAAAAAGGGATTTTCCCCCTCCCCCCCACCCCCCGCTCTGGAAAATATTGAGAGCTCTCCCCCTGATAAAATCAGTACGTGTTTTGAGTTGCTCACTTGTAAATATGACTCTGCAAAGAGTTATGAAAACACCACATGCAAGTACTGCATGTGTCAGGCAGATGCCAGTGTCACGAATGTCAGGTACATCGTTCTAAACTGAGAAAATGGAAAGACTCCATGGGCTGGATGCCTTCGAGTTGAAACCTAAACAGTACATACTGTCCAGATATTGAGAGAGAGAGAGAGCGGGAGAGAAAATAACCCACAAAATCTATTGCATTTTAGTGCAGTTCATCCAGCTGGCTAGGCCAGGCACAGAAGAGAGGGCAGATCCTGGGGCATATACACACACAGCCTGGTTGTCACTGTCTTTTCAGAGCTCAAGCCCAGCATGAGACACTTGAGGACAACCTACTCGCTGCAGAAGGGACCTATTTGGGCAAACACAGTAGGTGAGGTCATGGCAGTCTCACCAATCAGGTCAAATGCCCTCTACAAGAAGGTCAAATGATTGCCGTAAAAACCACCCCATCTAGAATGTTTTTGAGGGGAGAAGTCGCAAGAAGGAGGCATTGCTCTGAAGGTTATGTCAAGGGCTTTTAAACCTGCTTGGAAGGTACTCTTGTGCCTGACGGATAACGTTGTGAGATGTTATTGTTTGGATCTTTTGTTAAATGAAATCCATGCATAGGACCTACTGTTTTATAGGATGGTCTGTGTCCATTTTGGGAGAAGTGTCTACAAAACAGGTATCATGAAAAACTCAACAGGATAGAAGAAAGCAAACAAAGAAAACTCCCTACTCTTTTTACAAATAGAGGCATATTTTAAGTATCAGATCTATTGATTACTTCATTTGAGTATTTGCTTCTTTCCCACTATACATATGTGATGTACAGGTCTGCTCAAGTAGTTGAACTACACTAATGTTTTCATTAAATGTAAAAATAACATGTTCAAAGGCAATCTAATTTCACATGCAAATCTTTGATTAACATGATATCTAACACCTAAATATGTCTTTGGCAACAGAAAATGATAGCATAAAAGTTTTAGAAAGAACACTTGTTATTTAGTGAAGAGTTCTCAGTTTGTATACAACCTGCCTCCAGTGAACCACTAAAATACATCAAGTTTTCCAAGTAAAGAAAAAAGATGATTATTTTTTAAAGACAGCATTCTAAATTGTGTCCATCTCCACTTTCATATTTCTGAAAAAATGCATTTACAGATTTGAAACCAACAAATGTATGCAAATCTATTTATGTGATTCATATTCTGTATATTTCACTGATTTACTGTCTTTATGACCATCTATAAAGATGTGTGAGTCTCAATTGCACTCTTCAGATACTCAAGAAATAAACATAGTTGCTGATGTAAAATTCTAGTGTGGAACTTCACAGACTTAAGTAGTTACAGCTTAGAACAACAGTGGATTGTCCCCTTACTCCAAATGCCAAGGCATATTTCCATAAAAAAGCTTTATCCTGGAAAGACTTCATCTCAAAAAAATACACTGAACAACTCGGCAAATGAACATCTCAAATGTAATTATGGAAACCAGAATCCTCAGTACTGGTAACCGACTCCAAACATTGAAATATTGCTTCTGTCATAATAAGGAAACTGATACAAATAAATAAATAAAAGCAGTCCTCTAATAGCTCAAGTTCTCACAATCTCGATACTGTTGGTATAAGACTGTATCATTGTGACCAGATTTCTAAACAGACTATTTAATGGATAGTACATTTATAATATTCCTAATATGACAGCTGCTTAAAAGCAAAGTAAGCATTAATCTTCACAGACTCACCTGTGTGTTATTCACAGCCTGTCTCCGAGTATGGCCTTCCATGTCTGAGTATGGCCTTCCATGTTTGTTGTTCTGAAGAAAAATGACACAACAAAATCTTTTCTAGTGAAATATGCTATAATACTCAGCATAACACTTAAGCACATACAACTCAGTACGTCTACTTGAACAGCTGCTCTGAAAATTTGGTTCCTCCAGGGGTTCTTAAGTTTAATTTGTCTTTTTTTCCTTCGGTGCTTGGTCATTCTAGAGTAGACTTTTGTCTCTTTCAAATATATCTCTCCTAACAGAAGGAGAAAAATAAAAAAAACACATCAGCATAGAATTGAGCAAATCTTCTAATTCATAAACCATTTGATCTCATATCCCAAGAAGTCTCACTTAAGGGAAGTTTTTGAATGCTCCTCCTGTGTATTTATTGCCAGACAGATTTTTTTTATGAGGCAAGAATGATCAATTTTCTATTTTGTGCCTATTCATTAGCACATTTGCTAGGTAAAAGTTGCACTAGAAGTATTACGCTCATGATAGTGCACTGGATTGTAAAGTATACCAAACATTATACAAACAATAAAGTAGAAGCAACAAAATTAGAAACTCTGAAAGAAAGGAAACGCAGAAAAAAAGGAAGAGATGATTTTTATATGGCACATCCCATAGGGTAGCACTCAAAAATCAAATAAAGTTATAATCAAATAAAAACTACAGCTGCAGAATAAAATAGCATCTTGGGGGTAGAAGGGAAATGAGCACAGCTCAGAGCAAAATCTGTCCTGGAGCAAATACTAAGCAACCTCACAGAACAAGCTCAAAGTTGAGCTTAACAGCATCATAGTACTATTGCAAACCAATTTTTAAATTAAACAGCTCCAGCCATTATGAGGAGAAGCACAGAATGATCACCTATGGGTTTTTCCATTCCCTCAAAAAAAAAAAAAAAAAAAAAAAAAAAAACCATAAAAAAGCCCAACTGAAGAAAAACATAACAAGCAGGTCTAATTGAAGGAGTCTGTATAATCTACCACACCATACCATTGTCCCTGTCTAGCATGCCATTGTAGACAGGGAAATTTGGACAATTAACTCTTCCTCACAATGCCGTGTCATCGCCAGGGATGAGAGAAATATTCCAGAGGAAATGAGAGCACTGCTTTCTCCCTAACATCTGCATGGCCCAAAGAAAACCTTCTGCCAACTCCAAGCTACAGCAGCACTTCCTGAAAGAATTATGTACAAGGCAAATCACCATGAGCACACCTAGAATGCATGTTGCCTTGCTCAGGTGATGCTGATCACAGGCATCTTGCCAGGTTGCTCTGTTTCACAACTATTATTTAAGGAATGAACTGGTCTCAGAGCTCAGCTGTGGGACTACCTAGGAGTGAAAACACTACCCATGAAATGAAAATTTCCAATTTTCTGAAGGATATCTGAAAGATCTTTTCAAAGTTTAAGCTAGAGTAAAAAAGAGAATTAAGCAGTTCTACTAGAACAATGTTGAGATTTTCAATATGCAGTAGCTTGCAAATTTGCCCTGTAATCCTGATTTAAAACATGACAGAAAATTAAAGAAACAAAAATCCAAAGTGTTAGTGGAGGACAAGAGTGAGTATTCACTTGGATGTTGTAAAAAAGCAGCAGAGGCTGAGCTAATGTAAAGATACTGCCAAAGAGCACATTATTTTGATTATATGCAAACAGGTTTTGTATAGCTTTTAATTTATATATATACACATACAATATATGTGTATGGTGTATATAAATATATATTCACACAGTATATATATAGTTCATGAATTATATTTGTATGATACTCACTTTCCAAGTGAGGAAAAAAACACTTTTGCTTGTTGCCTCCACAAATATTATTGCAATCCTACAAAGCCCCAAGACCCTGCACAGTGCCTGTAGCAGAAAAACAGATAGCATCAAGAAAAGAGCCGACGGCCTATCCCTCTGGCTGCTGTGACAACATTCATAGCCAGATGAGTGATGTGGCCTTGGCTGGTAGAGTTTCACATCAGGTTGACGTGCCTGTGGTGACAAAAGCCCCACCATCGTGTGCACAGCGCGTGTTGGATATTTTCGTTGCTCTCAACCTTCTAGAGCTGGAGGTCACTCTTCCACTTCTGTTCTGAGTCATGGGAAGGGGAAGCTGGAGAGGCCTCCAGTCCCCAACAAGACAAGCCCTTTAGCCACCTGGATGAGCATAAATGAGCTTGGCTGCTCCAGAAATGTGCAATACTGGGAGCACCAGATGGGGCAGTCCCTAGGTGGGCAGCTCCAGCAGCACCATCCTTGGTGCATTGCTAAGTCCCAGAGAGGATCTCAGCATCTAGATAATGTACGCAGCTGAGGGATTTGGTCAGTCCAGGCTGTTTGAGCTCAGAACAGAGATCCAAAAAAAGCAGGTGGGAATATTTGGGAGATTGCTTTTCACACTGTTCCTCTTTAGCAGGGTAATGAGACCTGCCTTTTTCTTTCTAATCTCCTTTCTCACTTTCTCTCTGTAATATTAACTGGGTTTATTCATCATGTTCACAGAATAATGCCATCTGCAGGTTATTGCACACATCTGCCTGGAAGTTCTTTGAGTGTGACCTAGAAATTCACATATCATTACATTAGAAGAAGCTTTTTCTGTTCTTGCACTGCATTACTACAGATACATATATTAAAAATACTGTGAATGTCCCATTCTGATTAAAAAAGACATAAAGTGTGGAGAGCAATCTATTAGCTCACATCAAAGGCAGTTTTCCTCTCCCTTGTATGATAAATATTTTCCATTTCTCCCATAAAATGAAAAGGAAAATGATAATTAATTGTGAACACACTTCTTGATCCACTGGGAATGCATCAATAAGGACTTCTGGTACCAAGTAATACAGGTGGGACTTCCCAAAGCAGCACCGCATTCCAACACAAAGGGAAGAAAAAGGGTATAGAAGGCAGTGACCACAAAACATCTATTGATACCATATTTTTATCAGGCCAAGATGCCTGATTCCTCCCCTCACCAGAGTGACGGGCTCCAGTGGGGTTCTGCAATGTTAGCGGTGAGATTTCTGACAAGACATTTCTAGCTTCAACATTCAAGCTGACAAGGCTGTTGTCAGTTCAAAGCAGTCTCTCTTTCCTTTCAAGGCATTACATAACCACCAATTTTGTTTTCCACATTTACCAGAAGCTGCCAGCAAGGAAACAATTCGCTGGAGGATATAGCAATTAAAATACCAAGCTCTGGCTTTTATTCCTCCCCCCTTTTTTCTCCCTCTTTCCTTTCTCCTCCATATGCCTCTTCCCTCTCCCACCCCCCCCCAAAAAAAAAAACACGCAGATCTAGATCTATCTTTAGATTTGTGAGTATTCTGTGAGTATACTCTCACATTTGACTCTTAAGCAGTGTAATGTGTCAAAAAAAAAAAAAGAAAAAAAAAAAAAAAAGCTGCCCTTCATAATGATGGAGAAAGAAGAACCAATTTGGAAGACGGGTGAAATCTCTTGCAAAAGCAGCTCTTTTCTTTACTGAAGGGGTTGTGTCACTTCACAGCACACCAGATTCACGGGTAATGCCCTGCTGTTTTATTTAACATTGTTAAATATTTGTGATCTTCTGGGAACACATTTGATGCCTCACAAGCACATTGCAAAGTAAATCCCTGCTCAAAAATCAGAGGAACTAAAGGCACTTTATCTTGCAATTGAGATGGCGGTGTGGATATCACACCTATGTCTACAGCTCTACTGAACTCCTTTTAGGAAAGCAGAAATTTGTAATGAGAAACGATAAGAACCTGCAGCTCTGCAGTATAATGCTGGTGTCTGCCTTAGCCCTGAAAAAGCTCCACATGGACATTTAATACATGTGTGCATCCATGGAGATATCTCTCCACATAAAAAAAAAAGAAATTAAAGATAATCACAAGAACATGTTATTACTTTGTTCCTTTTCCACCAAAGGCCATGCCAGTTCACACTAAAGCTTTACTGGTCAAAGGTTTCAAAATGATTTAGGTCCATACAAGCCAGAATAGCTGTAGAAGTGCTTTCTACTCAGGCTTAGTGTTGGAGTCTCTCCTTGCTGCAAAAAATCCACCCCTCAAAACAGCAGTATTCTCAACACCCTTAACCCTTGGCTAATTTAAGCTTTCCTAGGTCCATACACAGTCATACTATAACTGGAGCATTTAGAGTGTTCCAACCTCCCTAACAAAAGGGCAGCAATTTCATGTCAGGTTCCCTCGTGCTGTAGCTTTCCCAGACAGAACAGAGATACAGATTCTAAAAACAGGGGCCTAGAAGCTGCTACAATAAATACAGCTGATGTCAAGCAGAGGACCAGAAAACCTCTGTATGGGCAGATCCAGCTGGCAACAAAGCCAGGAGGTCACCTGCCTGGGCTGGGGTCTGCGGCATAGGGCACTGCGCACCTTGCACCAGATGCTGGTGTGCATGGTGCACGTGGCATCTCCATCACCACCGTGCCCTGCTCCAGAGCATGGCGATGCGCACGCTGCTTCTGGCAGCACCACTCCCAGCTACACAAAAGCCTTATTGCTTTTTTTAAAATGGAAGGCAAAAATAAAGGCAAAAAGGCAAAAAAAAAAAATAAAAATAGGAAGCTGCCTATGTGGAGCTTGTGTCTGCTTCCACTTAGAGAAAGCAAAATTCACACCCTTTCTTCTCGCTTCCCCCCTCCCTTCAACATGGGGAAAGCCGCACACACGCGGACGTGAACGCGGACCCTTGTTCTCCATTTGCAACGGGTTTAATTTAGCCCTCGAGCCCGCACAGAAATCCTGCCTGCAGCAAAGTGATGTCAGGCTCCCGCACGTCCCTGCGGTATATGGAAATCCTGGTTGCCATGGGAACGCAGCTGCGGGCCGAGGGGGCGTCTGCCTGCGCCGATGCTGCTGCAGACCTACCTCCATTTTTGCAGGGTGCTCGCGTGCCAGCAGAGTTGCATTTCCATCTACATCCTCCCCAGCGGCGATTCTGCCTCTTCTCTGCCCTGCAAAGAGCCATATGGCTCGGAGCGGAGCCTGGGTTGTACTAGAGAAGAATTTGGAGCCCCAAATCTCAGCATCCTGCTGGGGTCTCTGGGGAGAGGGTGGCTCTGAGCAGCCACGCTCCCTTCCCAAGGCTGCTGCCTACACTTGCTGTCTCTCTCGGCTCCATTAGGGCAGACACCATTCTGAGGCTTCAACTCTGAGCTCCCGTGCAAAAGGGAAAGGCAGATTCCCTTCACATCGCATTTCCACTTTTCTGCTAGAGAGGCACAACCTGACGCTTCAAGTAAAGGACTGCTTAGAGCTGGCCAGGACTAAATGGAAATGCTATGTTTTTTTTTTTCCCCCTCCAAGTCCTTGTGGCAAAACACTGAACTGCAGAATATACTTAGCTGCAATAAATAGCTTTTATCATAGCTTCTCATGCAGAGGCATATAACACAGCAACAGGCAAGCTAGCCCCCATTAAAGTGCCATAAGACAAACAGGTGTGCACACTCCCGCTGGCTAACACAGAATTAATCAGCTAGACACCCAAAACAGAATCAAAGCATAATAGTGTCCCAAAGATGCTATATCTCAACACAGACTCTAAAAGGCTAGGTTTAAGTGCCTAAGTTCAATATTTGGTTTTGCTTTACCCCTCAGAGGAACATTTGGGAGCCACACAGACTCATATTGGGAAGAGCTGGGACATCTCATGCCTACCTCTACCATCCCCTGACAGGGGGTATCAACTCTGTTTTTTCCATGGAGGCCAATTAATTAAAAGCCAGGTTAAACTCAGATCACATGTTTTTACCACATGCATGGCTTCCAGCTCTCTGTTTCCAGGTGGTGCAGGCCTCCGCCCGCTAGTCCTGATGCTTTTTTTTTTTCCTAGCCACATCAGCTAGTCCAAGAGAAGAAGACATAGGCTCACCTTTGGATAGCTGGTATCTGATTCAGAGAAACTTCTTTTCTTTTAGTATTAGGGGAAAACTAACACAAAACAGCCTACAGTGCTCATGAGTTGTTTCCAAATCTGAATGAACGGCACAGCAAAAAAAAAA